GCCGCCTCCGAGTTCTCGGTTGCCATCTATGATGTGATCCACGAGAATGTGGACACGGCTTTGGTCGACATCCAGGCTCAGCTCAATAACCTGGAGTCCAAGGGCTTACTTCGGGGCAAAATTAACGCCAAACAACAGTTTGCGTTAATTAGTAAAGCAAACACTTTGGAGGAATGCCTACAGAATGCTATACACGTTCAGGTAATGCATCGGATGTTAGTCTAATAAGTTGTATAAATTTTATACCATTGTAAGTGTCAATACCATGTATTGTATATTGTTTGATACAGTAAGTGCAGTCCAGGATCATTAATGCGATTTCACACCCAAATAAGTTACTATTAAAATTGTAATCAAGTAATGTTAGATAATTAATGCCTATTGTTTTGTGGAAAGTCGTGTGGGTTTTGTAAATAGCTTTTGTCATAAGACTTGAAATGAAACACTCAAAAGACATTTATATATATTGAAAGTTTGTTTGAATTTTGATTTTGATTCTTTCAATTTGAAACTCAAACACATCAAACACTTTGAGTTAATTTTTAATTCATTTCTTAGGAAACTATTCATATTATTAGATATAAAATAAATGTATAATTGTTTTGTTGTTCAATAGATTTACAATGTTAAATTAGTGAAATTTTAACTTTTATTAAAACAGTTCTGTGATTAAGTGAAACAGTTATTGGTTTATTAATATATGAATATAAACTTCAATAAATTGAATGTAGATTATAAGTTTTATAGTTATGCTTGTGATAATATACTCAAACTAATCGTATGTTTTCATTAGTGTTTAAGTCTGTTTTAATTTTTTATTATTTTGAGATCAAAATTCAATATCATTTCAGCCATTCATTCATTTATTCATTTCAATTTGCATTGAAAATGTTAACATTAGGAATGAGTTTTTTAAAACTTTTTTGTTTTAGACTATTTGCAGACTTAATGTCAATAAAAATCTGTCTGAAGGCTCAATAGTATTGATAGTAATGATATTGAGTCAATACATAGACCTTTTATTTCAATTAAATTTATTTAATTTTATTTCATTTAATTGATAAAAAGTAGTCATTTAATGAACGGCCTTTCGCTCAAATTAATTGATTCACAAATTTTGCACTTTCAGTGCTCGTTTAACATTACTTTTAATCTTATTACCGGTATTGATATTTCAAACAAACAAATTCCTTAACAAAAAATAAATTCTTTAAATCTAATACATATCATACATAAGCTGCCAATAGTATAGTTTGCAATACTTAATATAAAATAGTATGATATTTCAATGACATTAAATTTATTTAAATACTGGAGAAAGTTTATTATACAAACTTATTGTCAATGAACTTTGATTACATTATTAGTACTATGATATCCATATTAAATAAAATTTCTAATCTAAACACATATTGTATTATCTATAGGAATGTGTATTCGAGGACTTGGAGCTCAAGAAAAAGGTTTTCCGTGAATTAGACGCCATAGCATCGGACGATATAGTGCTGTGCAGTTCAACCAGTTGTATACTACCCTCGCTATTCCAGGCCGACCTCAAACACCGGGCGCAGGCTATTGTCGGACACCCCGTAAACCCACCATATTTTATACCATTAGTCGAAGTGATTCCCAATAAATACACGGATCCGGAGATAGTAAAGAGGACTCGGGCTCTGTTCACGACTATCGGCCAAAAGCCGGTCGTCATTAAGAAGGAAGTGAACGGATTCATCGGTAATCGCATACAGTATGCGATACTCAGTGAGACATATCGTCTCATTGAAGACGATGTCATCTCTGTGGAGGACGTGGACACTGTTATGGCCGACGGGTTTGGCCTCAGATGGGCTTTCATGGGTCCCTGGGAGACGGCACACCTCAACGCCACCGGTATTTCATTGTTTGCTGTCTTTTGGCGATTTGTATTGATTGATGTTTTTTGGTTAATATACGATAGGAATGAAAGAATATTTCGAGAAATACAGAAAGAGTATGAGTAGTGTTTGCCATGACTTCGGACCCGTTCCCACGTTTGAGGGCAAAGGCGCTGATATTGTGGTGAAGGAAATGCATAAACGAATTCCTGTCGAAGATTTACCCGAAAGAAGGAAATGGAGGGACGAAAGACTCATCGCTTTGTCGCAGTTGAAGAAGAAATTGGACCAATAATTCAATTACTGATTCACACGATAGTTGATATCAATAGCTATTATAGCTATTATCAGTTTACTGTGTGATTGATTTCAATATAAGAATCATGAATAAAATATGACTTAAAAATAGTAATGCTTTTAAATTATTTGTTGCTTTTAATTATGAGTGTACTGTATTAATAAGTCTAAATTAAAATAAATATGGTAATACTTTTAGATAATAATGTCATTCATTCAAAAATCCTAAAATATTTTTCATATATAAATTAACATGTAAATTACTTACTATCCTAGTAACAACTAACTTAAAGTAAAAATATTTACCGGTATCTTTATAACAAACTTTAGATCAAACTTCAAAACTTTTTTGAAATGTTTTTAATCTGAATATTAAACAGAATCAAAATTTTTATATACAGCACTATAATGTAGCAATTTTAAACCTCAATACAATTTCAATGTTACATATTTTAATTGCTAGTCACAAACAAAACATCCCAATAATATAATGCTTTGTATAGTTTCCTGTGATTGCAATCTTTGCAATTGATCTCAAATTTCAGACTTAAAACCAACAAAAGTGTTGCTCTTATGCGCTATTCTCTCATTTCTTTCATTCACATCATATGCTATCGTAATGTCGGAGTCGAGTGAATCAGACCCAGAGAGTAGACAATCGTCTACTGGTATCCAATTGGCAACACCTGAGGACAGTGGACAACAAATGATAACATCCAAGTATAAGGAGTTAGAAGCTGATCATCATAATGTCGACAACAGGATCTCTACCTTAGAGTCTCGGTTACAGAATCTTGAGCTCGAAGTCCAGCAATTGAGTGAACGCGTGGACAACATTGAAGAAGATATCCTCTCAAGAGAAGGGGTCATTGATTGTCAACCATCTACTAGTACCCAATTGGTAACGTCTGGAGCTGATGTCGTTAATTTTGCCCCGAAGTAAGCCCTTGGACTCCAGGTTATTGAGCTGAGCCTGGATGTCGACCAAAGCCGTGTCCACATTCTCGTGGATCACATCATAGATGGCAACCGAGAACTCGGAGGCGGCGAACAGCATCGCCCAACTCCTGCCTATCAGACCACTGTTGGCCACAAGAATCATAAATCAGATCCAATAAGTGATTCAATTGACAATATGTATCATTAGTGCCATACCTGCCGACAATACCTATCTTTTGACTCATTCTCCGCACCAAACGATATAATCAACGAATGAATGAAAACTTATAATTAGTTTGAATGCAAACTCCGATTCACAAAATGAATCAAATATTTAAGACTTAAATACGAGTGTAAAGTAAACCAAAACTCTTATCGCAACACAATTTTGGACAACACATAGGGCTTCAAAAACAATCAATTAGTCTGTAGTCCTGTGGCCTTGGATTACATATCAGATAAGACTTCTGTGAATATTATACAAACAGATTAGACATTCACTGCTGAGTTCATCGACAACTTTGTGCCAAAACAGATATTCAACCAAAATATGCATCAATTTTAATAAATAAATCAAACCATAATTTCGTTTTTATTAATTTATTTGAAATCTTAGACAAAATTAAGAGAAATAACTATTTTTCGCGTTTATCTCTTGCCTCCAACTCTCGGCGCTTTAGTCATCATAGGTTTGGACGCCTTTTGGGCCGCTTTCGCCTTTCCAGCCTAAGAACACACCAAACATACGGTAAATATTAATTCATTACAAAAAAATAGTAAATTTAAGACAAATTCCCAACTAATAGTTACACAAAAATCATACATTAATTGACACAAACTTTCACTACAAATGAAAAATACACTTAAATTGTAACCAATAAACTAATGTCTATTTCTAAGCAATTGATTGCAATAAATGCCAACAAAAGTGATGCAAACCTTCTGCGGGGGTAACGATGCCTTCTTCTGGCTCTTCGCCGCTCTTTGTTTCTCTTTAGCCGCTCTAATGGTAGACAATAAATACACAATCAGTACACGGATCAAATCAAGTGACAGATGGGGGCCGCCAATGACCAGCACATACCTTATCGCCTGTTCCCTCTGCGCTTTCCTAACCTCGGGCTTCATATTACGTTTGGCGAGAATGTCGTTAAGACTGGCGCCGACGATAGCCCTCTGAAACTTAGCGGTCCTTCGGGTCCTCTTCTTCGTCAACTCCTCTTCGATGCCTTTGCGGTGTTTGCGTCGATAGAGTACAGTCCACGTGATCTTACGGGGGTTGCGGCGCATCAGGTGTGCCGCCTCTGCCTTCGCGTTCAAGAAGATGAACACCTGATCCACACCATCACCGGTAAACAGATCCACACCATCACCGGTAAACAGATCCACACCATCACCGGTAAACAGATCCACGTGTTTGACATTTGACGGAAATCGGGGTTCATTTGGATTAAAGTGTTGTTTATTTGGATATAAATTAGCGGATCAAATGGTGGCGCGTATTGTGATTACGGCATGAATTGGCGGATCAATTGGTGGCACGTGATATGGATTGAGAGACAAATTTATGGATCAATTGGTGGCTAACTAAAGAGGACAATAGCAAACATACCTTCCCGTCGGCCTTAACCAG